AACAAGCCTACTGCATTGACGTCATATTTCGTCCGTCACGCGATGTTGCGCGTGGCAAAACGTGATTAATGGCACGTTACAAGATCGTGTAAAATACAGGAGTCCCTTGCGATAAGGTTAACCATATTTTCATTTAGTCGACAGCTTTTTTTTTCCTTTCTTTTTTTTCGGTTTCTATAATCCTATTTATCTAATGTTGTTTAAAACATGACCAAACATGTTGATTTTTACCGGAATGAAAAATGGTTTACATGCAACCCATGCATATTGAGAGTTCAATTTCAGATTGATTTATTTTTTACTCTATCAGCATAAAAGTCTGTAATGACGTCGATTTCTGAAAGCGTTACTGTTCAAACTTGGAATATTTAGTTTCTTACAAAGATTAGTGATGTTTGTACACGATCTTGTAACGTGCCATTAATCACGTTTTGCCACGCGCAACATCGCGTGACGGACGAAATATGACGTCAATGCAGTAGGCTTGTTGTCACAACAACAAAAAATTGTACTATAAGAAAATATTGAAAACATTCTTTGGCAGCCTACACGCCATCTATCTTGTAGTAATATTTTTCTGTACATTCTCAATATCTTGGCACGCAGTTGATCATCATTTGTACATCAAGACAAGTATGAGCAAACGAAAAATACTAACCCTAAATTACCGAAAATTTCTCGATTATGAAAGAAATCTTGATGTGGGTTGATTTTATGTGTTTACGTAAACAGACCGCGCGGTTCACCTCGTGAAACCATCAGGAATGGGGTTTTGGTTTCAGTTTTGAAAATCACATTTATAGCAGTCATAGGATGAATTATTTTATAACCTTCTCTTCATACAGAAGTTCCTCAGATTGTGAAAGGTCCACAAAACGGATACGTGCAGGAAGGGGGGGATGTTAAACTAGACTGCGAAGCACGTGGCTCCCTTCCTCTATCTTTTACTTGGATCCACAATGGCAGAGTTGTATCCGAAATTCGTCACACCACGAGCAATGGTTTGTATCATGTTTACCTGGAAATCACTTCTTGTACTAAACTTGTGGTAAAAGAGGATAAACGTGTTGAATAATTTAGGTTTAACATTTTAGTTGCAAGGAAATGGGATAAACGCAAATAGATTCAAAAAACAATTGGAGTTCCTTAGCGGAATGTTTGGGAGACAAACGCAAATAGATTCAAAAAACAATTGGAGTTCCCTAGCGGAATGTTTGGGAGACAAACGCAAATAGATTCAAAAAACAATTGGAGTTCCCTAGCGGAATGTTTGGGAGACAAACGCAAATAGATTCAAAAAACAATTGGAGTTCCTTAGCGGAATGTTTGGGAGACAAACGCAAATAGATTCAAAAAACAATTGGAGTTCCCTAGCGGAATGTTTGGGAGACAAACGCGAATAAGTCTGTAGACATAGAATCAAAGCTTGTCAGTTGTAAAATGTGTTTAAAAAATTATAGTTTCTCAAAAATAGAATCTGGAGTTTTCAATTTAAAAATAAAAAACAAAACAAGAGTGAATCCTCAATAGCCACGGCAGGATCTTTTAGGCAGGTTTAGAGTAAATTAATCTACGAGACATTTTTTTTTCCTTTTTATTAGCTATATTTTTGTGCGTCAGCAATACCAAGCTGGGGGGCGCGTATACCCTATTCGATTTTATTACTCATCAGGATCTCTACCAGCCTACCCTCAAATTGAAATTATTTTAGACAGGATTAGAGTAAATTAATCTATGAGACCTTAGGGATGGTCAAAAACATCAATCGAAAGGATCTGACCTTCTGAGTCCAAATTGTAATTATATCTCAAATGGTCAAGAGATGACCGAGCTATGAGCTAAAAGTTTGTATTTGAAAAACTCAGAGCCGTTTTATGAGCCACTATGCCGCGGCTAAAAATAGTTTTATGAAATAAGATATTCGAAATATCAATGAAGAAATTAGAGTTAAATTCCTTACAATTTTCAACGGTAGATGTTTGGAAAGTGTAACTCCACCATAATCGCTCGCGCCCCACAGGGAAATTGTTGGCTTAACATGTTAAAATTGTTGCCATGTATATTTTTATCTATTTATTTTGGGCACTGGCTCTTGATTTTCGAGTTTGATGCCACAAAATAAACTCGCACACACATAGACTTTAAGCTGTGGGTGGGTTATGTGAGTCACAGTCAATCCCTTAGCTTGAATAGTGGATGGTAGGGTGCTGCCAACTGGCTGTCTTCTCTCTGGTCAGAAGTTTAAAATTATGGTAGCTTTAGTAGCTTTGCCATAAATATAAATACAATTAATGAAATAAAACAATAAACATATAAATGCAATCAAAAATACAGCAACATTATGTGAGTTAAGATCCTGCACTTGGACACGTTGATTATGATATCTTTGAGAGCTATGGTGCTGATTTTCGAAGATGTAGCCCAGTAGGTTTCGTTTCGGGCTGCGGATTGAGAGGACGAAAGCTTGAGGCGTGATGTCGCTGAACACACTCTGCACTCTGAGTTGTGAGCGCGTTATAAAAGTGAGAGTCAATCCCACTATTCGATTCAAAGAGTTGACAAGTCCTTGGGGGGGGGGGCTTTTCTGTCTGCCCTATCTCTGGTCATTAATTTAAAATTTTAGGAGGGCTATACCTGAACCCTATGGGTCACTGACCAGGCCATTTAGCCTATATGCATGAAGTGTTGCTCAAATTGCGAATTCCAATACGAGTTACCACTCTAAACATGACTGCTATCACACATTAATGTCTGGTATCGTAGGTGATCAAATAAATTATGTTCATCAATTTTTTATTGTTATAGTGTTCAATATTGAATTATCATTGCGAAAAAAATTAATATTGTTCATATTTCAGAAAGCTCTCTTGTTCTGAGCAATATTGTTCGTAAACAAGCTGGTATTTATCAGTGCTTTGCAAGTAATAAACTCGACACTACATATGCTGTGAGTGAAGTTAAAGTTCTACCGAAAGAGGGAGCATCTTCGTCATCCGAAACCAGTAATGCAAGTAAGCATGGTGTTGTATTTTAACTTAAGTGTATGTTTGTGTGAAGTTTTAAAAAAAATGTGATGTTAGTTATATCAGCTAATGTATAGTTTAACATAACATTCCCCTAACTTTTGTCATTCAAGTCCCCTTTAATTAATATCATTCGTGTTTTTTAATGAATGAAAGAGTGAATTAATTGACGAGATGTAACACACCAGTACACATTTAAATGATGTTTGTGTTATAGTAATTACTTAGTATTTTCATTGACAAGAAATATATTAAAATGTTTAATTTACATTATTGCACTTTTGACTCTCCCATAATCTCTCGCACCCACCTGGGGGCTGTGCCCCACATTTTAGGAAATGCTGGCTTAACATATTAAAATTGTTGCCATGTGTATTGTTATTTATTTTGGATTTTGATCTGGATTTTGGTGTGGCGAGTCAAGTTAGAATCTGTACAATACCGTAACATATTCCCTGCATTCTAAGCTGTGGATGCGTTATAAGAGTAACAATCCATCCCTTAGCGTGGGTGATGGGATGTTTCTGACTGGCTGCCTTCCTTCTGGTCATTAGTTCAAAATTAGGGTTAGCGACAGGAGCTTTGCCATAGAAACAAATACAGTGTACCACATCTGAGAAATCCAAACCCTTTCATAGTTTGATTCCATTCATATTCCATGTATTTCTTTTTATACATTCTCTTATTGCAGAAGAACTTATATCCCCACGCCTATTTGAATCTCTCATTTTTTCCCCCACCAGGTGTTACCCAGGAGGGTAACAGACTCACAATTTTTTTTTAGATATTTCACAAATCTATTCAAAAGAACAAAGCTAAACTAATTATTTTCTTTGACGTTTTATGGGGGAATTAAAGCACAGTAGTCCCCTTGGCCTGGCATGGCCAGGTGGATAAGGCGCTCGACTCACAATCTGAGGGTCGCGGGTTCGAATCCGCATACCA